TCCAGTAGAGGCACAGAAAAAGGCCTAAAACGAAAAAGGAGAAGAGTCGCTCAAACTTCGTTTTTTCAGTTTCAGAGGGTCCTGGTCATTTTTGAAAAAAAATAGGGAGTCTTAGGGTGGTGAGAGGTTGATATCAATCTTTGATGTTAGTACGTTTATTCGCTCCTAACATTGGTAACTCTACGCACCTATTAGACATATTTCAAACATCATAGGTACATCCTTAAAATATTCTCAGCGAGTTCTGCTCCCGTCCGTGTGCCGCCGGCCTTGGTGAGAGTCGTGTTGTTTCACACATATTTCTGCCGCGCCACAGCATTGTGTTTCTAATGCCCTGACCGCGCTGCCACGCATTATCCGTAGAAAAGGGCAATAATGTCTATGGGCTAATTGTATGGACCTGTTTGACTGACTTACTTGTCACAGGGTCTAGTTTATGAACTAATAACGGCGTTGCGCTAGGAGTGCAGAGTCAACGCAGAAAATGGTCCAAAAAACTGGACAAAAAATTCGGAGCAAAAAGCTTTTTTACCACATTGTTGCAGGCCAGTTTAAATGCATCGTAGGCTGATAATGTAATCTGCAGCTTTAGAAGAAACTTTAGAGGAAATATGGAAAGTTTGTCAGCTTCATTTGCTTATCCCAAACTAGTGACTTTTTTGTAAGTTATTTGAGAAAATTGTTAAAACAAACTTGAATTGGGTTACCGAGCGGCTAACTCTTGTTTCTTGTTAAGCGACATCTAAAAAACGTGACTATGATATCAAAAAATCGAGCTGGAAAACTTCTCTAGCAGATGCGACGTTTTTTGGGCATCTAATCTGTTTAAAAAAGATCGCTGTGTAACGATATCGACGAAGTCATTACATAGTTATCAGTAGGTTTCCTGACATGAACTTTAATATCGTTTTGAAATAGCAGATATTGTTCCCATTCTTTCATGGGTGCTCCAATTTTACTATTTTCCATTCAATAGGTTCAGGACAGAGAATCAAGCTTCCAAGATATCGCGAGGTCCAGAGTTTAGCTGGCAGTATAACTCGAAAACGGTCAAAGTTAGAGAAAAATTACTACAGGCCTTTTTTGCTTCCACGCCTATTAGTGGAGAAGTATTTTAATCACGAAAATTTCCGAAAATGTGATATGCTTTTTGATGTTATGTGACATCACGAAAAGCCATGTCATTAATTTGCGTCAATCTGACTCTTGGTCTGTCCGCTAATCCTATAGCCGCTTATAACTTGTGAAGTACCAATCAGATTCCGATAAAATTCCGAGACAATTTTACTATTAGGCCAAGGATGTAAGAGCTGTGTAGTCGGTCCAGTAGAGGCACAGAAAAAGGCCTAAAACGAAAAAGGAGAAGAGTCGCTCAAACTTCGTTTTTTCAGTTTCAGAGGGTCCTGGTCATTTTTGAAAAAAATAGGGAGTCTTAGGGTGGTGAGAGGTTGATATCAATCTTTGATGTTAGTACGTTTATTCGCTCCTAACATTGGTAACTCTACGCACATATTAGACATATTTCAAACATCATAGGTACATCCTTAAAATATTCTCAGCGAGTTCTGCTCCCGTCCGTGTGCCGCCGGCCTTGGTGAGAGTCGTGTTGTTTCACACATATTTCTGCCGCGCCACAGCATTGTGTTTCTAATGCCCTGACCGCGCTGCCACGCATTATCCGTAGAAAAGGGCAATAATGTCTATGGGCTAATTGTATGGACCTGTTTGACTGACTTACTTGTCACAGGGTCTAGTTTATGAACTAATAACGGCGTTGCGCTAGGAGTGCAGAGTCAACGCAGAAAATGGTCCAAAAAACTGGACAAAAAATTCGGAGCAAAAAGCTTTTTTACCACATTGTTGCAGGCCAGTTTAAATGCATCGTAGGCTGATAATGTAATCTGCAGCTTTAGAAGAAACTTTAGAGGAAATATGGAAAGTTTGTCAGCTTCATTTGCTTATCCCAAACTAGTGACTTTTTTGTAAGTTATTTGAGAAAATTGTTAAAACAAACTTGAATTGGGTTACCGAGCGGCTAACTCTTGTTTCTTGTTAAGCGACATCTAAAAAACGTGACTATGATATCAAAAAATCGAGCTGGAAAACTTCTCTAGCAGATGCGACGTTTTTTGGGCATCTAATCTGTTTAAAAAAGATCGCTGTGTAACGATATCGACGAAGTCATTACATAGTTATCAGTAGGTTTCCTGACATGAACTTTAATATCGTTTTGAAATAGCAGATATTGTTCCCATTCTTTCATGGGTGCTCCAATTTTACTATTTTCCATTCAATAGGTTCAGGACAGAGAATCAAGCTTCCAAGATATCGCGAGGTCCAGAGTTTAGCTGGCAGTATAACTCGAAAACGGTCAAAGTTAGAGAAAAATTACTACAGGCCTTTTTTGCTTCCACGCCTATTAGTGGAGAAGTATTTTAATCACGAAAATTTCCGAAAATGTGATATGCTTTTTGATGTTATGTGACATCACGAAAAGCCATGTCATTAATTTGCGTCAATCTGACTCTTGGTCTGTCCGCTAATCCTATAGCCGCTTATAACTTGTGAAGTACCAATCAGATTCCGATAAAATTCCGAGACAATTTTACTATTAGGCCAAGGATGTAAGAGCTGTGTAGTCGGTCCAGTAGAGGCACAGAAAAAGGCCTAAAACGAAAAAGGAGAAGAGTCGCTCAAACTTCGTTTTTTCAGTTTCAGAGGGTCCTGGTCATTTTTGAAAAAAATAGGGAGTCTTAGGGTGGTGAGAGGTTGATATCAATCTTTGATGTTAGTACGTTTATTCGCTCCTAACATTGGTAACTCTACGCACCTATTAGACATATTTCAAACATCATAGGTACATCCTTAAAATATTCTCAGCGAGTTCTGCTCCCGTCCGTGTGCCGCCGGCCTTGGTGAGAGTCGTGTTGTTTCACACATATTTCTGCCGCGCCACAGCATTGTGTTTCTAATGCCCTGACCGCGCTGCCACGCATTATCGGTAGAAAAGGGCAATAATGTCTATGGGCTAATTGTATGGACCTGTTTGACTGACTTACTTGTCACAGGGTCTAGTTTATGAACTAATAACGGCGTTGCGCTAGGAGTGCAGAGTCAACGCAGAAAATGATCCAAAAAACTGGACAAAAAATTCGGAGCAAAAAACTTTTTTACCACATTGTTGCAGGCCAGTTTAAATGCATCGTAAGCTGATAATATAATCTGCAGCTTTAGAAGAAACTTTAGAGGAAATATGGAAAATTTGTCAGCCTCAATTGCTTATCCCAAACTGATCAACTAGTGACTTTTTTGTAAGTTATTTGAGAAAATTGTTAAAACAAACTTGAATTGGGTTACTGAGCGGCTATCTCTTGTTTCTTGTTAAGCGACATCTAAACAACGCGATTATGATATCAAAAAATCGAGCTGGAAAACTTCTCTAGCAGATGCGACGTTTTTCGGACATCTAATCTATTCAAAAAAGATCGCTGTTTAACGATATCGACGAAGTCATTACATAGTTATCAGTAGGTTTCCTGACATGAACTTTAATATCGTATTGAAATAGCAGATATTGTTGCCATTCTTTCATGGGTGCTCCAATTTCGCTATTTTCCATTCAATAGGTTCAAGAAAAAGAATCAAGCTTCCAGGAGATCGCGAGGTCCAGAGTTTAGCTGGCAGTATTGATTCTGATACCGGAAATGAATTGCAGCCAGGAAGCTAGGAAGCTTACGTAGCGCATTGTTCTTACTGTTTGAATGATTTTGGTACTGCTTCCCTAAGCAAACTTCCACCCTATGGCCACCTAGAGGTTCTGAAAATGACTGGCTGACACCCAGTTTCGCCATAGTGCTTCCGTTCTCTTCGCAATGGCGTCATGGCAGCACACGTACTCTTCAGGGACCAGTTTTTTCTACATATTTTCGATGAATTCTCGTATGCCAGACTCCGATTTTTGCAAAATCCATACTGGGTAATATAGCTATCAGAGAACTGCACAAATTATGCATCTTGCCTGCTTCCGAACCCTGTCCTGCTCAGGGACAACATATGTGAATGAAAACATTAAAAAAAATCGGTCTCATCAATTTACAGATCTTGTATTCCTCTTTCACATCGGAATCGATTATACAATATATCACTGATTTTGTACCACCACATGAATGTTGAATTAAAGAATGAATACTTGGATCTTAAAACTAGTACCCTGCATGTTAAGTTATACAGCGACTATGCTCTGTCTGCTGTAATTCTATCAAGCATGGTGGAGAAAACTTGAATACCAACAACACTCATCAGCTGAGAAGGACTTATTTGATGATACAATGCGCAATGTGAATATATGTACATTAATATTTTACACATCTGCATAATGCACATTGTAAAAATTTTCAGGGTTCATATTATGCATAATTCTCCTGGATGAGAATTTAAGCAAGAATTTATATGCCAGTCAGTTGAAGCACTGCACGAGTTACATCGAGGGAAATCTTGAACATATATTTTTGCACGGATAGTTCCCCGTTACTGTGCGGCGGTTAGAAAATGTAGGAAACGTGGACGTAGTGATTACAAGTGTGTCTCGTTGAAACACACGAATTTCATATTATTCTATAACATTGCTATTATGCCGAGTAAGTAAGTAGAGTCACAACTACTTGTCTTATCTGTGCAGTCCAACTGAATCTAACCGCAGTATTAACCAACAGTGCGCACTAACGCGAAGAACAGTCGTAGTAGCGTTTGTTGTACCTTACTAGGATTTTCCAAATTTAGTCTGTTAGCATTTAAAAATAATAAATAAATATATAATAAATGAATAATTACTTTATTTCCATGACACTCCACAATAGAGTGTTGGAATAGTTAAAGATCACAAGCTAGTAAAAATGGTACAATCACTTTTAAAAACGCAGCACTAGAGGAAAAATCTAATAAGCATCAAATACTTAACTAATCATCAAGAAATTCCCTGACCTTTCTTTTTAAAAAATTACCGATTTGATACTCTTTGTACATTCTGGGTAACACAATCGTTGTACTTTTTGAAATCAACGACAACCTGTGAGCTACAGTGCTTAGCTGGAATGGTCGCCTTAAATTCTGGGTAGTAGCAGAGCCTCTTTGGAGACTATAGTTCTTAAAGTTTTCTTTAACATAGACGGCACAGTTATAGACATACGATGAATGTACACTGATTATTCTTAATTTTTTGAATAGCACAACACAGGATAGGATGCACGTCTGTTTTCAAATAAAATGGTTCCAGTAACTTTCTTTTGAAGAACAAATGCCACCTTCAGTCTACAACTGTTGCCACAACATATGATTCCATAGTTAACAGCAGAGTGTACCCACGCAAAATAATATGTACTTAGCAATCTCACATCAACGATCGCGAAGCTGCCATAATACAACGGTGCTTAGATGGTTTGCCTAAGATTACGTCAATATCCTCCTTCCATGATAAATTCTCATCTAAATAAATACCAAGAGACTTGACAGAAGCCGTCTGTTTTATGCTGTGACCATCACATCTTACTAAGATACTCTGATTGTTTGTATGCGTGTTAAATAGGACCAGATTCGTTTGCTGCTATTAAGTGCAAGATCGTTAGCAGAACATTAAGATTTTGTTACAAACTTCGGTAGCTGTGTGGCTTAAATTAGTTGCAATGTTACTTTAGTATTAGAAGGATTCAAAAATATGTCACTAATATATAAAATAAAGAAGGCAGGGCCTAAGGTACTGTCCTGGGGTACCCCTGAGAGTATTTCAATTGGAGATGAAACTAGAGATCTAGACTGGGCTTTAATCGTAACGGTTTGCGTCCTTTGATCTAAAAACGACTCAAGCCAATGAAGAGCAGAGCCGCGAATTCCGTAACTAAATAGCTTGTCTAACAAAATACCATGATTTACTGTGTCAAAGCACGGCTGAAATCGACAAATATCGGGAGAGTCTTTTGCCTACTATCAAAGTTTTGTATAATCTCATTATCGACTGAAGTTAATGCATACTGTGTAGTAAGCCCTCTACCGAATCTAAATTGATTGGTATTGACGATACTCAACTGGTTAATGAAAAAGCTGAAAGTAACGATATACCTTGGTATTTAGAAATCAAATGCCAGTCACTCTTTTTGTGGATAGGGATAGCACTCCTTAAGACGTATGGGAATAAACCTTCCTCGAATGACGCATTGACTAAATGCGTTAAAGGTGACACTGTTAATTTAACAACGTTATGCAGGAGCGAGCATGGATTGTTGTCTTCTCCACTAGAATGCTTCACAGAATTTTTTTTTTAAGTGCCAGCATTTCTTCTTTTACAGGTGTTAATAATAGAGAGTTTGTCGGAGATCGTATTGTATCGGATTCAAAATGACATCTGTACCTTGCTTTTAGTCAAATCATTAACTGATTGAACAAAAAAATTATTGAATGATTTCGCCAAATCGGATTTAGGAATCGTATGGCCCTGGGGCTCATCATTTTTGGAAATAAGAGTGGCCTTTCGAAAGGATCAATCTGTACTCACTCAGTTAGCTCAAAGTATATATCACAGTATTTGTAACGACAGATACTTGCCACCACGCAAAATTGACCGGACAAACAAAAATTTGTTCAAATTAAATTTGAAATATCTTTTTAACCTTTACATAAATTTCGTTAACTATTTCGACAGGTTGTAGGTAATGCGATTGTCATCATTACCGACTGCCGATCCTGCAAAAAATTGAAGGTGTTTGTTGTTATACAGGGTGTAACTAAAAGGTGCATTTTGCCCTAAACTTCTGAACATCCTGTGGAAACATTGGATTACTGAATAATGTGTCTCCTTATGAGAGTTTTAAGCCTCGACTTTTCTAAATAGTTATTTTTTGATTCATGTCAATATCTCAATTATTGATGAATATATGCTGTTTTGAAGAAAATAATGCGAACAATAGCCATAAACAATTTAATTTAAAAAATTAGTGACAGCATTGGTAAGAAAACTATGCGAATCATAACCATAAAGAATTTAACTTAAAGAATTACAGTTACGTCATTGATAATTAGAAAATGTTATCAAAAACGAGTATTTCTTCCCCGGGCTTGAATAACAGCTCTCATCCTCCCTGGCATAGACTCAAACCAGCTATTGCGCCTTGGGGTACTTGCTCTCACTCGTTTACCAGCATCTGTTCCAGCGTAGCTACAGTTTAAAATTCTCCACAGTTCTGCCAAAGTCTTCTTCCTAATGTATCCCACATGGGGTTGAGATCCGGAGTCCTTGGCGGCAAGTCTAGTACTTGAATTCCTACATCGTTGGAGTATTGCCTGGCTATATGCGGCCGAGATTTTTGTTGCATTGGGAGAAAATTTTCTCCTATAAAGGGCATATGAGGAACCACATGTGTCGGCAGTAAGGTGTCTTCCTTGTAGCGAAACAAGATCTGTGCGGGATTCCAAAGAAATACCGCCTCATACCAACACTCATCTACGACCACTCTAGGAGCGGAACAACTTTGAGCATAGCGTTCTCCATGCCTTTTCCACACTCTTTGGCGACCATCAGGTGAATATTTTGTAAAACGAGATTCGTCTGTGAAAAGAACGTTTGCTACCTTCGATTACCATTCAATAGACGACCTGTAGCAGGTACACAAGATGATAGGTTTCCTTCTCTCAACCTTCGGCGTACGGTATCAGGTGAAACTATGGTACCATGATCAACATCAATTCTTCGAATCAAAGCTATAGCAGGAACTGTTCTTCCTCGAAGAGTTTAAAGTCTCAGAAACCGAAACTGCGTTTGTTGCTTTTCGTCTTCCCTGCCCAGGTCTTCTTGAGTAAGAACCAGTTTCTCTCAATCTGTGTATCGTATCGAATACCATACTGGGTGGAAGGGCAAGCCTTCCTGCGATATACCAAATAGTACGACCATCATCTTGTAAAGGTACGGTGTCATTTTTGTTGAGTGTTGCTTGACAAGAATCTTTCTGACATGCCATAAAAGTGCTAACGGCCACGGCCTACTTGAAACAATTTCTTGTTTATGCCTATCTTCAAAACAGCATATATTCTTCAATTATTGAGATAATGACATAAATAAAAAAAGTACACATCATTCAGTAATCCAAGAGGGTGCTCAGAAATTTAGGGCAGAAAGCACCCTTTCAGTTACCCCTGTATAACAACAAACATTTTATATTTTTTGCAAGATCGGGAGCCGATAATGATGACAGTGGAATTACCTACAAGTTGACGAAACAATTAACGAAATTGATGCAAAGGTTAAACATTTTTTTAAATCTTAATTTGCACAAAGTTTTGTTTGTCCGGTTAATTTTGCGTGGCAGTGTAGGTAGTTAAGACCACTAAGCTTTGGTCCAAGAGGATACCTTCAAGCTTGCAGCCCACGATCCATGCTAGATAGATGGAGTAATTAGATCACAATGAGACCGGACTATGCAAGTCGTTGAAACAAAAAAAAAATAAAAATAAGTGGAAATCAATATAGAGACGTTAGCTCAGACGGAGCGATAGATTTAATGCTTTCGATTGGTGCGGTTCACACCGTGTTAAATTACGGACATAGTAATTTATTCGAGAGGGACGTTTTTATCAAACTTCAGCTCCCGTTCGATTAAAGTTGGCGGTGCACCTGCAGCAGCGGCGATGGAGGGATAAAGTCGCGAATTAAAATTGGGAATTAGGGCGCTGCTGCGGCAGAATCTCGTCAGTCAGATTTTTAGCAGGATGGTAACTAGTTCACTTCATCAGCCCGTAGAGCCAGAGATGACTATCTAATCAATATGGGTAAAAAGGTCAACTTTTTATACAGAATAAAGCTTTGTAGCGTTTACTAGACGCAAGCCTTATGCAGAGTACGCCAGAGACTGACAAAGTATTTTCAGGACTGCGACATTCCTTGAAGAATTAGCGTAAGCTTTGCTCTTATAATGCCACACTGGAAGAGTCAATGGATATTAGATATGTTGATCGCGGTGGCCGTGCAATTTCACCAAAGAAAACAAGTGGGCCATAAGTTTTGACAGATTGTTTTATACCCCGGCAAAGACAACATTCTGCATAGAAATCACACAGCGTGGTTTATGACCAGAATATCGCATATTTTAATGAGTTATACTTCGCGAGGCAAAACTGAACCCGCTATATCGCAGCGCATTACGCAAAATGCGATGAGCAAATTCTGCGGGTGCCTGTAAGAACAATAGCAATGGATGGCCGAGCTCTGTCAAACAGCCATTCGTTCAGGCAGACCGGCGTCCAGATCACCGAAAAATTGATTTGGTACCTCACATCGCATTAATTGCAACAACTATTGGAAGAAGAATAACGTAAGTACATAGGGCCAAGAAGTGCTTTGCTTCACGTAACTTACACACTCAATACAAGGCCCAAATATTCAGATCCAGCCTCGAGCACTGCTTAGCCCAACTAGCAAATATATTCTATTAACCCATTTATGCCTAATGTACTATGAATATTACAGCCTAAATTTATTTGTTCCTGTAGATATCTGTACGATTTGGTTAAATTGAATAGCTCGCGGCGACAGTTTGCCGATGGATCTCGTACAGAATGGAGTAATTTTGCGTATTGTGCTATATTTTGTATGTGAAATCAGTTTTTGTATCTTGGAAAATAGAAGACGAATGCGCTTTGCAAAGTAAGTAGGTTTTTTATGACATAACATACAAAAAAAAACTAGTTTATTTGTATGAAAATATTATTTCCTTAGTTGCGGCTTCTAGATTTTATGATTTTATGATGTGTTTCATTTATGCTTTGTTTGTGAGGTTATGATAAAGTTAGGTATACTATATTTTTTAGTACATATGTTCATAGTCAAAACAAAAATAAAACGGTTTTGGTAAATTATTTTTGAATAAGTAATTACTTTGAGAAGGAACATTTGTTTCAGGGGTTTTTCTTTGCATGAGGCGCTAGCAATGATAGAAGATGACGACATTGAAGCTGAGTCTATCAATTTGTTACCTCCCACTAATGCATGCGACGAGGATTCTGGAGACGAAGAATGACTGGATATCAACAACTTGCCAGGAAGCTTAATGCAAGCTGAGGTCGAAGTAAATAAGAATCAAAAGGAGGATATGTGGAGTTCAGAAGATGAAATACCTCAGTGAAATCAGGGGTAATAATCGGAAGGAAGTGAAAAAGAAGAAAACATATAATTACGTAAAAGAAGATTTGCCAAGAAATGAGTATGCGTTTCCAATAAACAACGAAAGTCAAAATGAACAAGAGCAGTCCCCAACCGAGATACTTTTTAGTTTTCTTGAACATAATAGTTGAGGAGACAAATCGGTGTGCTCAACAGAAAAACAGGAATATTATGGTTACCAAATCTGAAATCAAATGTTTTCTAGGCATATTATTGTTGAGTGGCTACAGTAGCGTATCGCGCAGAAGGATGTATTGGGAAAAATCCAGTGATTCACACAACTCACTTGTTTCTGAAGCTATTTCTCGCGATAAATTTCCCACATTCACTTCCTAAACAATGAAGCTCTAGATGCAAATGATAAATTTGCTAATGATGAGGCAATGGTTCCATACAACGGGCGACATGATTGTAAACAGTATATCCACGGGAAACCAATACGTTATGGGTTCAAATTTTGGGTTGGCGCTACTACTCTTGGTTAGATCTTACGGTTTGAACCTTATCAGGGTGCTTCAACGTATGTGAACGCGGATTACAAATCTTTAGGTGTTGGCGCATCAATTGTAGTGAGCTATGCTGATAGGCTAAAAACGAAATGGGCAAATCTTAGGTTTCATTTTGTATTTGATAATATTTTTTCTTCGCCAGCTTTGTTTGAAAGCTTGACTGAAAAAGGCATATGTGGTACAGGAACAATTCGTGAAAATCATATACCCATATTTTCTTTGAAAAATTCAAAACTTATGAAAAAGGAACAACGTGGAGTGATTGACTATACCAAAGTAAAAGATAAAAACTTAATTTTTGTAAAATGGAATGACAACAATGTTGTAACTTTTGGGTCCACATCGAATGAAATTGAACCAGTAAATTCAGTAAAGCGGTATTCTCAAAAAGAAAAAAGTTTGTGTATGTAGATCAGCCCCAAGTTGTCAAGCTGTATAATAAATTTATGGGCGGGGTGGATAGGTCAGACCAGAATATAGCTCAATACAGAGTACAAATCCGAGGCAAAAAATGGTATTTCGCGTTGATCTCTCAATGTGTAGATATGGCCCTGACAAACGCCTGGCATATTTATAAAAAGAGAGGAAATAACGTGGATCAATTACAATTTAGAGAAGTGTAGCTACAACTATCTTGACACAAAATAAGAAGACTTATACGTACCAGCAAGGTAAATCAATAAATTTTGGTGACATAAGGTATGATCGCTTAGATCATTTAGTCATTCCACAAGGCAAACAAACAAGGTGTGCACACTGTCATGAGCGCACGACTACTACATGTAGAAAATGTGATGTCGGCCTTCACGTCATGTTTTGTTCAATATCATACTCTTCAAAATTTGCAATATTGCTGTGTTTCAAAATCTTTGTACTATTTTCCATATTTTTTTATTATTATTCTCATAGCTACCTTAATTCCTAATGTACTATGTATAGTACATCCTAAAAAACCAACTGTTTATGTATTTTTTTTAGAATAAATTGAAAATATCTCGAAAGTGTCGTCTTTTAATAAGGTTTTTTAAAAAATAATAAAATAAACTTTTTTGTAACTCTTTAGGCATAAATGGGTTAAAATTTCGACTATTCGTGTTATTTTATAATTGCTAAATTACTGCTCTTATAGTGCTATTTTGTTTTAATATAATTGCCAGTAAGACAAATGAGCTTTTGAAAAGTATTTTGCTTTATATGTTCTTAGAGAAAAAAACAAATCAGTTTGAGGACAAATTTTGATACCTTATAAATGTCTACACAGCAATTTTATAAGACATTTAGGCTTACCGAACAAAATTGTTTTATGATAGATTTATACTGGAATTATCCGATACGAGTTTATTCGTTTGCGAACATCAATAAAATCGCTCTCTGTTACTTCTTTAGGGCTTAGAGGCCGTGGGCTGGAGTTTACATTTCCAAAGCCTCCGGCCCACCACCTCTAAGCCCGAAAGAAGGAACAGAGAGCATTGATACTTGCCGTGAAAGCCTACGTATACTAACCAATAGTATTGTTTTATTAGCGGTTTGTGGAACAATTATATAATCAATTTATTGATATTTTCTTTTTGATACTGTCGCTTGCTAAAGCATATTACACTACCAACTTCCCAACTAGGAAAGATATTTTATAATTTTTGTCTGCCGAAGGTCCTTTAAATTAAAGAAAGGATATGGATTTCAATGCTTAACCATACCCCGTTTTAAGGGTAAACAAATTTAAAGACGTACTTGAGCCGTCCAAATGCAAACCCCCCAAGTGCAAACCATACAGTTCCAAGAAAAACGCGGAAAACTGTTTTGATTAATACTATCTACAAAATGAATTTACTTCAATATCTTGTTGATATAGATACTGTTTTTTAATACATATCATTCATCGTATTACAACAAAGAGCACCGTCAGATAAGAAAAATAAAACGAAGTTGAAAATAAATGTGAAAAATGGTAGATTTTGATGCCAAAATCAATTGTTTTAGGTAAATTAGTCTCAGTTAAATAAAACACCTTTTACCCTGAAAAGAGCCCATTAAGGCTAAATAATCCAAAAACGAACTATATTAGAAAAGTAGGGACAAGTAGTAGATTTTGATTCCACAAAAGTAACACAGTATTCTTCAGCTAAACAAACACACATGTTAATTCTTATTATAGAGCAAACTTATGAGTTAATCATTTCTTAAATAATTAGAAATGAAACTACAAAAACACAAACTATATAATTAAACAAATCGTGTGTCGTCCTCAGGGGTTTGATGGCAGATGAATTCTTCTGTCATTGTAGAAGAGCCTGGTAAATTTGCTTGGATTATGTTGTTCTTCATCGCGTCCTTATAAAATATTAGATTTTGCAAAGATTTCCAATCAGGACCAAAATGCTTGGTTAACAAGCTGTCAATGGATTGTTTCTTGTTATTATTAACAGTACGCCCAGAGGCTAGATTGCTTGGTGCGTTGGACAATATTTTTTTTTTAATTTTTTGCAGACACCTCTAGCCATTCCTACATTTCAAATCCCACAAAAAACCGTGAATCGAAGCACACGGTCACGAGACCAAAATACGACTTTCGTATTGGTCACACGTACTTGGCGGCTTTTGCACACAAACAAATCTGCAATTAGCGATATTACTAAAAGTGAACTGAGTCTTTTATGCTCGATAGTAATGTTAATGTCGGGTTTTAAGAAATAATGTTTTGACAGAATGCAGATATCAAAATTTCCTGTCGAATGACAGTGCTATCACAATTTTTATTATTTTTGTATTTGGCGGGGTTTCCAGTTAGACGGCTCATTTAAAAATGCTTTTGTACTAGATGCTAGATGCTGCTCAGAAGTGGTCTGTCCGACACTACTTTGACAAACAGCCAAAGCTATGCCAACGGACTTACCTCATCGGAGCTCTGCTTTTGCCTAAAGTCCTAGCTCTGCCGTACATCCAGAACTGGTCGGTACGATCGCTCGTTTGAACCTAGAGCGTCAAGAATGTTGAACCTAAGGAAGCGTTTTTCAGTTTTAGTAACATTAGGCAGTTTAAGAGTTTAAGATGCCTGTAACCTACGTATAGCAGTCGCTGTGCGCCGGTATTTAGTTTTTTTCGCAGGCGGCTGCATCAGTATAAATAAACAGAATGGCGAAAATGTACGAACGCGACCTTAAAAAGCAAAATCCTCACATTCGGTGTTTGGACCAATAAAAAAACAAGGGTTTTACATTAAATTCTAATCCTAAGTTTTCTCTGGGATAGAAAAACGACATAATACTTTTAACAATTAGACATAACATATGTTTTAATCTGTGGTAGGGTGCGGAGCTATTCATGTATAAACTTTGGGCCCATGGACATTTTTCTAATTCTATTTTCAAGGAGTAACTTTAATCATTCGCTTTTCCATATTGAGCCCTCTTCCTACAAATACACTGTCAATGAGCCATTAAGAATGTAACATTATGTAACGTCCACCAGCTTAAATATAATGAGTGCTTGCAACTATAAGGCGAATAATGAAGGAAATTCACACCTGCAATATGTAAGTAATTTTGCGTGTAATGGGAAAATAATGTTGGATGCATGTTAATTTTCACCCAGATCGGCTGACGATAAAGCTAATATTACGTGAAAAATTTGCATTTTTGGTACGTTCAACGTTGTAGTGGTTTCAACAACTCGTTTTTATCGAAACACGTGTACATAACATCAGAACCGGATTTGAGGTAAGCATATCATCAAACAGTTACGCCTGATTGCTAGCATGGGTAAAAGTATACATATACTATTTTACCGACACAGATCCGAAAAGGTATGAATTTTTTTATTCTGAAGAAACATCTAAGAGAGTATCTAGCAAAAAGATATGTTTACTCCCTGGATGAGTATTTCAATAATGCAATGTTGCTGTTTATTTTATTCAGTTTTCACTATCTATTTTTAGTGCGTTTTCATTAGTAAATGTTTTCTAATGCAGATCTCAAATTGTCATATTTTATGTTTCAAAAATTATAAACGACCTGGGTGCCTAACTCAAATATCTGTCCTCAAGTTATCACTGGACAACAAATTTTAGTTTTTTAATTGTATCTTGTGGGAAAAGTGCACTTCTTTGTTAATTTTGGGGTGCTGAATCCAAAAATGACAATGAAATAAAAAAAATTAGTTGCGGTTTAGAAAAAAAAACTTTTTATTTTTAAGGATATATTAAAAAAAGTAACAAGATTCATATACTTATAAGAATCACTATATGCGCTGTCTTTTTGCTGTTCTTTTATGGATCGTTTCTGGAGCATCTCTACCAAGAGTCCAACAGTAGTCTGCAGGCATGGAAGGATTCCACTTTCCCTGGTACCTTTTTTCCAATGTTGAGATATCCTGATGAAAACGTTCGCCGTGCTCATCACTTACGGCTCCGCAATTGTCAGGAAAAAAGTCCAGGTGTGAGTGTAGGAAATGTATCTTAAGAGACATATTACAGCCCATCTTTTGATACGATGACAGCATATTTTTGACAAGGGTTTTATAGTTGTCAGCTTTTCTATTTCCCAAGAAATTAGTGACCACCAGACGGAAATCATTCCAAGCAGTTTTTTCAATACCTGTTAAAGTGTTCTCAAACTGTGTATCTTTCAAAATATTCCGAATCTGTGGCCCAACAAAAATACCTTCTTTAACCTTTGCCTCACTTAGTCTTGGAAATTTCTGACGCAGGTATTGAAAAGCTGACCCACCTCTATCTAATGCCTTGACAAAGTTTTTCATTAGGCCCAACTTGATATGCAGTGGTGGTAATAAATTTTTTTTCGAATCTACTAATGGCATATGCTGTACATTTTTTTGACCTGGCTCTAGGAATTGACGAACAGGCCAGTTTTGTCTGGTGTAATGAAGTGCCTTTGCCCGACTGTCCCATTCACACAAAAAACAGCAAAACTTTGTGTAGCCTAGCTGCAGCTCAAGTAAAAGTGCAACAACTTTCAAATCGCCACAAATATGCCATTGGTGCTCATCGTATTTTATGCATGTCAATAGGTACTTCATATTGTCATAAGATTCTTTCATGTGAACTGCATCCCCTACAGGAAGAGATGGTAAAATGTTTCCAATATGCAATAACACTGCCTTTAAACTCAATGTTGAACTGTCTATAAACAATCTCCATTCTTCTGGGTTATAGTTTATATTTAAAGCCGCCAGTAAGCCGTTAATGTTACTGCAGAAAACCAAGTTATTCTCCATATTGAAAAATGGTTCTAAGTCTTTGTGGCGTTTACGAAAAACACATACCGAAACATCGTCTTCTAACTAGTTCCACTGCTGCAGTCTTGATCCAAGTAACTCTGCCTTACATTTTGGAAGTTCTAAATCTCTTACAAGATCATTTAATTCTGACTGTGTTATTTTGTGCGGTTGGTGGCATGACGTGCTCGGTATAAAATCAGGATCTCTTGACGTTGATGGCATATCTTCTTCCTGACGAATCACTCGATCGCCATGATCTGATTCATTTTCTTATTCGCAAGTGTAGGATTCTGGGGGTTTTGAAATTGGATTTTCGTCACTGTGAGGCACAGGTCTCATCGCAGATGGTATGTTTGGGTAGTTAATAACCGATTTTTTTTTCTTGGACATACCTGTGTGTACACAAGGTACCATGCAAAAGTAACAATCATTAGTATGATTTGTAGGCTCTCTCCAAACCATTGGGACAGCAAAGCGCATAGACCGTTTTTTGCCATTTAACCAGCTCCTCAGACTTGAAGCACATGTATTACAGCAGATGTGGGGTGCCCACTGTTTGTCTTGATCACCTAGTTTACGACCGAAATAAAGCTGATATGCCTTTGTTATTAGTGGAGTAATAGACCGTCTCTGAGACGCAAAAGTCACATCACCACACACGTAACAAAACTGATCTGGATTGTTTACACACTTTCGAGACATCTTGCTTGAACGCTGTCAGCCAACTGAGGAAAAAATGGCTAATATAAAACAATATAATGTACACGTATGTACGTATATAACGTAATACAATCATGCCAATTACATCATCTTTCCTTGCCGAATATAAAAATGTAGCACGTGCATTCTTGTGAATTACAGTATATTAACACTGTCACAGCAGGAACACATATAATTACCGTATCTCTAAAACTTGAACTAATATTGAAAAAATAAATTTCATTCCGGTTTTAGCACATTAAAAATAGTAATATTTTGTTGATTTTATTTAGGATATTTTATGGCTGCTGATCAGTTATTAACTGTACATATTATATTTCAAATGTTCATGTCCCTTCGTGAAGATTTTGTTTATTTCTGTATACTTTTCCATGTCGATACGCCATCAGAAGAATATCAATTTTTGACAAGTCTCATATTATACAACTGATCCTCAAGACAATAGAATATACCACACCATGCGCTAGAATTTCTTAATTTCTTCTTCAATACTATGCCAATCTAAGGAACTTTGTATCTAGTACTCACTCACTACACTGGAGTAACTTAATGCGCAAATTTCAAGTATACCTTTCAATCAACCCTTATAATTTTGGTATATTTCCTTAATGTGTGTTCGATAACAAAATGAATGAGTATTTTTATTTGTAGTTATGAAAAAACTGTTTCTCTAAAAAAAGCTAAAACTAAAACCTGATTAAAAAATTCATCTGAACTTTAGAAAGTGTGTTGCGGAAGTTGTAGTCGACGTTCATTAAAACTTCCTTTATGTACGTTTTCACCAAGTAAAAATGAGAAAAAAAGTCGTCTACTTTATACAGTTCAGCAACACTCAAGCTTTGTTCTAGAATTAAAAAATAATATGCAGAACTATAGATCGCCCTATTGGTAAACTTTAGCCATTATGTAAGCTTGGCAAAATAAATCAGACGGACCTTATATTCACAAGGGGTGTTTCTATAGGATTATAGAGCTTTGAAATGGTATATAAATCAAAGGAACCAATGATTAGGAAACAATTTCGGTAGCGGCAAATATGACATGATTCTACTCGGATGCCAAACGTTAGGTACAAATTCCGCGCAGGACCATTGCCTGACTTTCGGTTGGACCGAAGATTGAATGCTTCCGCACCTGGAATGCCGACTTGAATGCCCAGGCTTATTAAGCTGATTTGGCTATTGGGGTAAAAAATCCGCTATTTTGATTTTAAATGTTAATATACACAGTATAACTCGCACTGCTAGGACGAATATAGCAGTTCCTCACATGTCAAAATCCAGTCTTTTGGAATGTAGCTCGTAAAATAGAATTTCTTGTTTACATGTATAGATACCCACCTCCGTTAAACATACAGATTCTTTAAGGTGAGGCACTTTTCGAGGCAAGCTGAAATTATCAGGGTTTATTCTACAAGGATTGAGATAGTTTTAACATTAAAATGAATAACGACATACAACCTCAATTTTTTTACCGCCCTACAAATTTGAGGGGTGGGAGGTTATTCACAAAAAAAGGAATTTAAGGTTTTTTGCGTTGATTTCTAATTCTACTGTCAAATTTCGGGGCACATATAGCGGTTCATTCAATACGTTTTGAGATCCTCTATCACGTGACTTTCGTTGATCCACCATTAACTTTACACTCAGTATATGACTCAGATAAGACAGAGCCTCGAGTACTGCTCCCATGTTTGGTCCCTGCTCTGCCTCCCCGACTACACTATTTATACCCGATGCTATTCAGAAAGGGGATGTCCAACTAGTCGATGACATTTTCCACACCGACAACTGATCGGAAACGTGGCTGTCCTCTACTCCTGTGTTGAGTATGCTAGTCGGATCAGTCAGGCTTCTGCTTTTCAACTCTGTCGAATTATGGACGCTTAGAACTGGTCGGAAAGACTCCTTATAGTAGCCGCGCTGCCTTGGTACTCAGGTTTCTGCCTGCGACTGCATTATTATGTAAGAAGCAGCACCGCGGCTGGCTCGAAGTAAATACAATATACGTATGACCTGGTTCCAATCACTTTCTCAAGCATTTGAAGTGGCACTAACGGGACAAACGTAGACTTTTAAGGCTCTAACTGGGTCTGTTTTATCGACGTATCTGTCATCGTTTATGTTTGGTTTAGTTCCAGGCCTATGCTCATATGAGCTATGAATAATAATAATCATAATAATCTTTATTGGTCACAGAAAAAATACACAAGTGTTCATAGACATGTCAGTATTGAAAAAACGTACAGTATCGCAGACATAAAAGTACTCTAACTATAATAAACTAAGGCCCAATTTCACCAACAGCAGTCCGTTATTCACCACCTACAGGGTAACAGACCGTCAGATACAGCGAATGAGCTTCCAGTTCCAATCAACAAATTTTAGCAACCAATAGCTGTGAAATGTTGAAAACAAAATACTGTCAAAGTATGAGATAATAATAATAATTCAGTCAAAATTTAAACAAATGTTTGATTTTTGAATAAAATTCATGATTTAATTACTATTGTTGATTTTTTATTCATGTTTATATTATTTTCTTCAATTGATTTGCGATTTTACTGATTCAAGATCA